ATGTTGTACACGTTAATTTGCCGGATTTTTCTATAGCATCATGAATTGGTATTGCACTGTTATCCTTCTCTGTGTGAAATGTTCTCAGTGATGTTGAGATCTAACTAAATTTCTATGTACAATTTTTATTTTTAGATTAAGCAACAATAAATTAATCGCACACCGTATGTTCAACCTGAAAACAAATGAGGCAGATAAAAGCATTACACCGGTTACACCTCGTATTTACTTGCTTTGTTCGAGATTTAGCAATGGCAGATCCAAATGACCGAGACATTCGTTTGTAGCACAACACGCACCGACGCTTGGTGTACCGTTTCTGACCCGGAACAACTTCAAGTAGGTGACGAGAAACGGACGTCGTCGGCGCTTGAAGATTCAACGAGGAAGACAAGGACTTCATGAAGTCGACCACGCCCGTCTTGGTCCCAAAATAAGTCAATACAGCCATGGTATTAGATAGTTGATCTACGATTATAAAATTTTCTGTCATGCGTGTAACTGTTTTAGGGATGTAAAGAATTTCTAAAACCCATCGCTAGTTAACGACAATACATTGTCCGTCAGAAGATCACGTTCATGATATATCTTTTCTTATATGCCAATCGAGTATCATGATGGAACTGGTTGTAAAATTGGAGCCGGTAAGGGTAGCGCTAATGATTGGTACTGTTGTCACTAACAAAAATTCTTTTGTTCCTAGACCTAAGACACATGTCGAATACATTACGAGTGTCAAAAGTGTAAGCAATGAGATAAAAATAAAGAATCCATATTCAAAACCCGCCGGCAATCTACTGCCCAGCTTTTATTTATGAGTCTGGATTGGAACCAATTGCTATTTGACTAATGACGATTGGAAGGAGGAGGTAAAAAAAATCCAAGGCAATCAAAGAAAAGGTCTGAAAATTAGAACTGGACCAATGCAGTTTAATCTAAGAGAATCCACTGCAGAGAAGAAACCAATTTAACACACAAACGCAGAAGTACACAGACAAGAAATAACGCGGAATACAGAACTTATCAGCTGTGTTTTTCTATCGCTATATAGGCTTTGACTGGATTAAGTAAAGCCACAGTAAGTTCTTATAGAGTTCATTCGTGAAACATAAATTGACAGTGTAGGATTTACCACGTGCATAACCCGTTACGACCCTAGGTGGTTTCGGGAATCAATTTGCGGAATGTTTTCTAATTCATAAAGATACAACTATAAAAAAAAGAACTGCCTCAAACTAACTTCTCAGAGCCATCCTTCCCTGTGATCTTCAGTAATGGGTTTTTCACAGTCGTACTTCGTCCTCCTAATGAAGTATATCCCATATCATAGAGGGGACAGTATGGTATGCACAGCTCCCGTAACGTCATCCATACATCACGGTAAGACCATGCCAGAATAGGACAAACACGCAAAACTTTCGGCCAGTCTGGATCTGTCCATTCAACTGGAGATCTGGAACCAGTCGATATTGCCTTACGACTCATTTCAACGCCGCTATACTCAAATTCGACGAAGTAAACACACTAGCTCTATCGGCAACCTACTTCATGTACTTCCCATGCGGATCAGTTCCTCTACTTCCCATTAGCACAGCAACAACATTTGGTTGTTCTTTCTTTAGCGCTTCAAGTCCTGATTTGAGAGGTCCTGGATACTCTGTCACCACAATGTTGTAACTATAACATGCATATGAAATAATAGTTTAGTCATTGAGTTATTGAGAAAATAACTGAAACATTATGGCTCACTTTCTGGCTGCATCGATTATAAATTGAGTTGCCTCCGGAAACTGATCCTCGACCATTATATGAAAGCCTTGAATCTGAACATCAGGACCATACTTCCTGGAAACACAAGATGACAATCTGAGTCTGAGGTAAGCATGAAGAAAAAGGGTAAAAAAAAAGGAGTGAGGCAATCAATGATAATTATCTGTTGGGATACGCCATGCGTTCTACTTCCAATGAGAATCACAAAGACGTTCTGAATACGGTCTGGTCTACAGGGTGATTTGTCGATGCACCTGTCACTGTTGCTATCCTTCCAACCAGCGTGGAACCAACCCCAACGATCCCCAAAGGAAGAAGGCTTGGTTGGCCCGACGGCATGCAACCCAGGATTTGATCACGAGGAAGTGCGCCTGGTATGCAGCGCCAATTTCCACCACACCAATTCTGCCCAGCCACAAAAAATGAGCACAAGTACATAAGAATTCATTACAGTTCCTTCATCTATTCAGTTTTGAATAACCTAGTATCTCCTTTGCCGAAGGCCATATCTGATAAGTAGTTATATCGGATGGTGAGAAAGTTCTTTTTCATTTTTTTCAGTATACAATGGAGTTTTCTCAACAATATAATCATCATTGTTTCTACAGTATCCCACCTAATGGACAGGTCAACGATTCTCACCTCCTAGAGTTGGGGAGACAAAGACGATCGAGACCAGCTTTTGTTCACCGTGAAAAATGAAAGAGTTGGGTGGAGGACACGGTTTCCTAGCCAACCTATTGCTCTGTCAGCGCTTCCTCTGACCGTCACTTATTTGGCTCCTTTGAGGAGGCATTCCTAGCTACGAAAAAAGCC